GGAACGTAAACTTGTTCATTCACTCTGGAAAGCAGTGTGGAAGTTCCTCAAAAAATGAAATATAGAACTACCCTGTGTTCCAGAAATTCTGCTACTGGGAATTTGTCTAGAGGATTTCAAACCAGGATACAGTAAAGCCACCAACACAACCACGTTCTTTACAGCACTATTCACTATAAAGTATAGAATCAGCCTAGTGCCCTTCAATGGATAAATGGATGGAGAAAATGTGGTGTGTATACACAGTGACTTACTCATTCATTAGAAAGAATGATGTTATTTATAAAGAAATGGAAAGACTTAAAAAAATTACACTGTTAAAGTAAGTTAGACCCAGAGAGACAAGGGATGCATGTTTTGCTTTACATGTGGAAGCTAGATTTATCCTATAAATCTTTAATAAACACATTGGGCAATATGCAAGTGGTTACAAATGTCTTAACTAAATATGGTAGATTCAAGGGAGAACTAAATAGTGTGATTAAATTACAGTAAAGTTCAGAGTTCAACAAAATAAACACCAGCAAGTGGGACTTGAAAGGATTGGATGGGATGGGGTCAAGGGGAGAGGAGTAGATTAATGAAGAGGAGAAGTAATAAGGGAGAATGCAGTTAATAATTGAATGTATATCCTACAAAATTAGGAATGAGGGAAGGAGTGCATAGAAGAAGGATGAGTGAAGAGTGACATTGATCAAGATTCATAAACTGCTTTGTTAAATGACAAGTCCATCATACTAAAAAAAAAAAAACTTGCAAAAAAAAAAAACCATCTCTGATACCTAGCCTGGAACGGATTTTGTATCTCACAGTTTAGTAAAAATACTAGTCATCAAGATGATTTCCTTTGCCCAGTGGGTTATGTATTGTTATACATTAACATAGAAATTAAAAATGTAGTCTTTAAAGAGGTAGAGTGCTTGCCTGGAGCTGAAGAGCTGAGGGACAGCATCCAGGCCCAGAGTTCAAGCCCCACGACCGACCAAAAAAAAAATGTAGTCTTTAATTGAATTCCATTATGAGGATAAAACCTTGTCTGTAAAATTGTATAAACCTTTTGAAATTTGAGACTTGTTTTATGACTCATAGTGTATCACAGTGAAGTACTATGTGTACATGAATGTACTATGTGTACTTTGAAAGAATGAGGAATTTGTAGGTGGGAATAGTGTTCTGTAAATGTCAGTTAGGTCAGGGTTGTGGATAGTATTATTTAGATCTTCCATGCTCTGATTTTGTCTAGTGGTTTTATCAGCTGCTGAGAATTGCTAAAATCTCTATTGTAGATTTATTTATTTTCCCTTTAATTCTTTCAATTTTTGCTTCATGAATTTATGAATGTTATATTTGTTTGATGAATGGACCCTTGTCCATGAAATACCCTTATTACTGACAATATTCTTTGTCTATTTTATCTGAAAGTAATGCTCCAAGCCTATGGTCTTCTGCTTGTGGTTTGCATAATAAATCTTTTCCTGGCTTTTTTAGTATCACCTTATGACTTTACCCTTAAAGATTACTTCTTTTAGACAATATCTTGGCTCTTGAACTTTTATCCAATAGTCTCTGTTAAGCTGAGTGTTTAGTTGACTGGCATTTTAAAGTAATTATTGGGTTGGATTTAGAGCTATATATGTTTTAGAAATTTTACTGTTTGCTTACCTCATTTTGTTGTTTGTTTTTGGATCTTAAATTTTTGCCTTGTCTTGTGTTAACTCAATCCTTTTTAGAACTTTATTTTAATTTTTCCGTTGGCCTTTAACTGTCTCCTTTCATAGCTTCCTAATTCCTACAGGTTGTTTCATTGTCACAATATGCACCTTTAGCTTTTCTCATTATATTGAAAGTTAATATTGTACTTACTCAGTTTTATCTAGTCCAACAAATAACAGACTTGGCCAAATCTGCTACCACCACTTATATATAAGTAAAGTTTTATTATTTTAAATTATTTTGCTTTGTATTGGTTTAAAAAATGTATTGTAAAGGTGATAAACAGAGGGGTTACAGTTACGTAAATAAGGTAATGAATACATTTTTTAAATTTGTTTTTGGGTCCGGTTGTGGGGCCTGAACTCTGGGCCTGGGCGCTGTCCCTGAGCTCTTCAGCTCAAGGCTAGCGTTCTACCACTTGAGCCAACAGCGCCACTTCCAGCCTTTTCTTTTTGTTTATGTGGTGCTGAGGAATCGAACCCAAGGCCTCAGGCATGCAAGGCAAGCACTCTACCACTGAGCCACTTTCCCAGCCCAATACATTTCTTTTTTAAAGTGTTACCTCCTGCCTCATTTTTTCCCATTCCCCCTGATCCCTGGACTCTCCTCCCCTCCAAGTTGTAAAGTTCATTTCCAACAATGTCTAGGGTGTATCACTGTTGCATTGGTTCACCCTTTGTGGCAGCATTTCTGTGATTCCTCTTCCCTTCCCCAAATCAAATAAACTTATATATAAGACAGTGAGTACAGAAATCAAAAACAGTGTCAACAGGGAATAAACCAAAGGAACAAAAAAAAGAGGAAAAATAACTGAAAACAGTACACTAAAAAAATCATTTCCGTTTCTTGGAGTTCGTTTTGATTAGCATCATTTTCTGTGGTCATTTGCACATAGGTATTGAGCCATTCTGATCCTCTGCTAAGAATATCCTAGACATTTTAGTTATTACAGAGCTTTTAAAAAATTTTGTTTCTGTATTTTTGTGGCTTATTTTGCATGCTAACAACAGACAGTGTGCTAGATGACAAACCCTAAAATGCTTACTTTTGGCTTTTTTACTGAAAATGGTTGCTTTCCCAAGCTTGAGCAGCTGTATGTGCTTTTGATTGATCCTAGTTTAGTTCTCATATAAAGATAAGTTGCTTTTGCTGAATGAAAAGTTCTGGGTTGATAGATTTATTTATTTAGCACTTTAAAGACAGTGTTCTGACTTGCCTGCATTGCTTTGGATGAGGGGGTCACCCTTCTGTATTTATACTACTTTTCTCTCTATATATACTAGGGATTAAGTTTAGGGTCTTGTGCTTGTTAAGCAGACATTCTATGTTTGAGCCTTTTTTGCTGGGATTGTCTTCAAGGTGTGGCCCTGTTCAAAGGCTGTGTGGTTCTCCTACCTGTGCTTCCCTGTGTCTCTGGGAGTTAAGTTGCATCCGCTGCTCCCAACCCTTGTGCTTCTCCTGTAGCTGTAGATGTTATCTTGTGGTCACACACTACTATGCCCAGCTATTGGTGTGGCTGACTAACTGCTCTCTCCCTGTTCAACTGAACTGAACATTGTGTTTTGGTTTGTGGTTCAAGTTGTAGTGTTCAGATCTTTTCTCTTTGGCTGAAATGCTTTGAATCTGTTCTGTGCCTGAATGTCTTAAGGAGTTGGTTCCATGTTACAGACAGGATTTGAGTCCTTTTCCTGACTTGTTTTCTTCTCTTCAACATTCATTGTCCAGGTTCACTATTGTTCTTTTCCAGCACCCCAAACTTAGCATTTGGCTTTTTTTTTGTGGGTGAGGGGGTTCTGACTGTTATCAGGCCTGATGGGACAAGTGTATTTAATCTCAAAATAAAACCTGTAGTGACAGAGGCTTGCTTATGTTGCTCCCTGACCTTCCAACTGCCAGTGAGTGCACTCCAAACCAGAGTTCTACTTACTTTCCTGCTGGTAATTGCTTTTTCAGCATGTCATGGTTTTATAGTTGTTTCTTCAGGAGAGAGGTTCATCCGGTAGCTTCATATCTGAGTTGAAGTTCATGTTTTTAGTTTTGAAGCAGTTCTAAATGCAAATTAATTGAGCTACTTTTTACTTATAATAAAAAGTAATTCATGATATTATAGGTAAAAGCACTCAGAAGCAATGTTAGTAAGTTTACAAATATCTTATTGAATTTAAACTCTGAACCAGACTCTGAACCAAACAATAATATAAAGCAAATGAGAAAATGAGACATTAGTTTTCAAGTATTTGAAATTTTGTGGAAACATAAGGGAAAGAGTGGGCACTGACAGTGCTAAGTAAATATTTTTCTGTATTTATTTAGCATAATTATTATTGGTATAACTTGCTTACAAAAATAAAATGCAAATTTTAGTACCATTTATTTTGAGTTGCTGCTATGTGAATATGTGTGTGTGTGTGTGTGTGTGTGTGTGTGTGTGTTGGGAAGGCAGGCAGCTCATGGGTCTTTTTTTTTTTTTTTTTTTGATCAGATGGTGAAACTGGGTTTCTTGAGATTGTGGCTATGTCTTGGTTAATCTTGTTTCCAGAATTTAGCTTGCACCTTGTCCAGAAATAATGGTTTCAAAGAACATATGATCTTCATAAATGTGTATGTTCATTTGGTGTTTTCATAAATACTTTTAAGAAATAGAACAGCATAGAAGAAATGTAGAATTTGACTGTATTCTTGTGTCAAAAAGAAAACTTTTTAAGTTTTTCTTTGTGCCTTGTCCCCTTAAAGAGTTGATTGTGGGGAAGGTGGCTTGTTAAACTTGAGAGATATTTGAATGAACAATCTTTTTTTTTTTTGTGATACTGAAATTTGAGCTCAGGTCCTCACACTTACTAGGCAGATGCTCTATGGTTGAGTCAGGCTTCTAGCAAGGATAAATAGCATTTTTAGGATCCTGTGTTCTCTAGGAGAGCAACAAATGAAAAGTTCAATGTGGTGTGCTGAGAAGCAAGATCATGGTCAAGAATTGTGATGGGGATTTAGTGTTATTTCCCTTGTGTGTGTGCGCTATTGAAGTTTTGTACTCAGGGATTTATGGCTGCACTTGACCTATGCCTCTAGCCCTTTTTTGTTTTAGTTATTTTATTTTTTAGATACTACCTTGTGTTTTATGGCCCAGGAAAGGATTGTTGCAGGAAACAGGGATTATGGGTAAAGTCATTCACTTAAAAGTGATAGTTAAATCTGACACCTAGAAGGAGGATATGAAAGGAAGTACAGAAATCTGCAAATATCATATGACAAATTATATTAGGTTTTCATTGTCTCTTTGTCTAACCCAGAACTTTTTAGAAAAATCAACAGAAAGAGAAACTCGCCAAGAATATGCTCTGGCTATGATTCAGTGCAAAGTTCTCAAACAGTTGGAGAATCTGGAACAACAGAAATATGATGATGAAGATATCAGTGAAGACATCAAATTTCTTTTGGACAAACTTGGTGAGAGTGTCCAGGACCTTAGGTGTGCTATATTCTTATTTTTAAAGTTTCCTTATACTGGATTTGTTTGACTTAAATAGTGTTTCGTTTACATTTGGTTTTAAGAGTAATGGGGAGGAGAGTTCTCACTAAGTTACCAAGGCAGATCTCAACTTCATGTGTTCAATATAGATCCTCTCACTTCAGCTTCCTTAATAGCTGAGACTACAGATGACCCACTGATTTACATAGCTTTAAATATTATTTTTCTGTAAAGGTGATGTACTTCTGTATTACAACTATATAAGTCAGATGAAGAATACATTTTTGAAGAGTATCTCTTACCTTGTTCTCTTCCAGTTTTTCCTTTCTGTCTCTATTTTCATTTTCAACAGTGTCTAGTGAGTATCACTGCTACATTTATTTACATTTGTCCCACCATTTTTCTGCCCCCCTTTACCCTCCCAAAGGTGCACGAACAAACAAGACAAAAGGAAAAAAAAAAGCAAAACAGCAACAACAACAACAAATCCCTCTTGTTTCCATTTCTTGGAGTTCATTTTGATAAATACTATTTCACATGATCAGATGCACATAGGCTTTGTGCCTTTGTGTTTCTCCCTTAAGAATGTCCTCCTTTGGTGTCACTGTATGTGTAGATGCCTACAATCCTGTATAATTTATCATGTCCCAATATTTGTTTTTTTCTTTTACCATGAGTATGTTTACTTGTAGATTTATAGGTACATTCTAGTTACCACAAATGAGGGAAACTCTGCAACTTATGTTTCTTTCGGTCTGGCTTACTTTGTTTAATATAATTTTTTCCAAGTCTTATCATTACCTTACAAATTGCATAGGTTTTCTACAAAACTATTGAAGTGGCTGAGAATATTTAAAGGGATGATACCAATCAAGATGCGTTGTACTTGCAAACTGCTTTGTTATGTTAAATGACACCTCCTTTGTACAATTATTAAAGATAATAACACATTTAAAAAAAGAAAATTGGATTGGTTGTCAACTATGAAAATTGAGAGATTTCCCTAAATATCTTCTGTTACATCATTGTTACATGATAAGGTTAGAGCCTTCTGTCTTGTGGAGATTCCATAATTTTATTTTCACAAAGATAATAGATTGATGGTTACAGCTGGTTTACCTATTTTGGTTATTATAAGGCTTAGGATATGGATGTTAAAAATTCTAGTAGGAGAAAAATGAGGGAAGGGGTAACAAGTTTGACAAGAAATGTATTACTTATGTGTAACTGTGACCCCTCTATATATCACCTTGACAATAAAAAAAGAAAAAAAAGGAAACAAAAGCATCAAAGATGAAACAAAACAAATTCTAGTTAACTTCTCATACAAACTGGCCCACATTAAAGTAAGAAATTGTTTAGTCAGGAACTCTGATCAACTTACCTAGTATGTCCTGGTTACACAGAATTACCAATGAACATTTAATGGACCAAATGGTCACTTAGATATTTTATTTTGCTTTTTAGTTTTGGAGTAGCTTTCAGATTCTTATGAACTTGAACTTTTTCAAAAACATTTTATAGTTCCTTTGATGAATACAGTTCAGAACTTAAATCTGGAAGGTTGGAATGGAGTCCTGTGCACAAATCTGAGAAATTTTGGAGAGAGAATGCTGTGAGGTTAAATGAGAAGAACTATGAACTCCTGAAGTAAGTTGTTATTCTACCTTGTGCTCTGAAAACCTGTGTTTTCAACTCATTAGCCTTTTTTGTATTATTTTCTACATTTTAGATGTTGTGTGGTTTTAACATTTTTTCTTGCTGAAAAAATGTGATTGAATGGCCTTTTTGTGCTTTTGTCATTTATACAGATTTTCTTGGAGATGTGCTTGTTAATTTTATTTCTGTTTTATGGAGTTCTGTATTTTGACTTTGAAACTTTTGGTCATATATTCATTTGTTACTCTTTTGTCTCTGTCTTATGCCATTTCGCTTTTTAATGGTGCCTTGAGCACAAGCTTTCAGTTTTAATGTGGTTCAATTTATTTATCTTTTCCTGCATGGCAAGTGCTTTTCTGTCTCTTGGTTAAGAAGTTTTAGCCCTCTATGGGCACAATAATTTCTTTCTGTTATCTTGTAAAAACTTGTTTAGCCTCTTCTCCAGTTAATCTGGAGCTGATTTGGGGTAAAGCATGAAATAGAAGTCAGGATTCACTTCTTTCCTTGCCTGATAAATGAATGAACAAGCATCCTATTGTTGAAAGAAGCATTTTATCCCATGATCTACAGACTTTTTTTTTTTTATCATAAGTGGCTGAATATCTGTATTTGTATGAATCTGCCTGCTATATAAATCTTATATTTGTGCATTTGGGGGCTGTTTTCTTATTCTTACCATACTGTATTTATGGTTTAGTATTATTCATCATTACTTGATTACTTTTTTATGGTTACATAGTCCATTGTATGAATAGACTACTTTTGTTTTTGATTAAAATCTAATATTTAAATTAACCTCAAGAATGTTTTAAAAATAATATGTGTATTTTTATTGTTACTGTAAAGATATGATGTTCAGAGGGGTTACAATTACATAAGTCATGTAATGAGTACATTTCTTTTTGAACAGTGTCAGTTCTTCCCGCACTCTCTTCCAGTTCATTTTTAATGTATGTCTAGTGAGTATCACTGCTGCATTTGTTCACCCTTTGTCCCACCATTTCTGTGATCTCCCTTACCCTCTCAAAGACAGGCAAAGAAAGGCAAAGAAAACAAAAACAGCAACAAAGAAAAAAACCCTTTTGTTCTAAAGAATGTTTTTAAGCTTCAACTATTTTTTCTTGATTCCTTCATTTGTTTTAAGTTGCTCTTGTTTGTATTTTTGGAGCATATTGTCTTCATTGACCACTTAGAACTGTTTTCAGACTCTATAATTGTTTGGCTTGATATGGCCTGTTTTTGAACAAGGTCTTGAGATGTCAGATATATGTTAACAAGAATTCTACCTGCCAAGGATAGAATATTGACATCTTTCAAACCAAAGTATACATTTTGTTTATATTCTTATGTCTTTCTTCCTTCTGAGACAGTGATTTTTTTATGAGCAATTTTATTTGTAATCATGTCATTACTTAAATCCTTCCTCTGATTGCTGGCAAAATGTGAGAAAGACATCCTCATGTACCTACTTTAGTGTAACCTCAGATAAACTAAAGCCACATTTTATGTTTAGATGTTTGGATTATTTCTATCTTTTGATTATTATATAATGCTACCAATAATACTATAAAGCTAATATTTGGACATTTTTATTTCTCTTATTTGAGTAGATAATCTAGGAATATAACTGGTCGACTGTTTTTCAAAGTGGCTGCACAATTTTATATTCACAGAAAAAAAGAGTACTAAGTACCAAATGTTCTTATTCATCTCCTTAACTTCTATCAGCACACAATTTCTAGATGTTAAAATCTCTTATTTCTCCTGCTTTTAGTTAATTTGTGCCAGCAAAAACAGTCTAAATATATGCTACAAATACATCTTCAATTGATTAAAAGTGGGTAAGAATGATAGCAGTAACCTTTAGTAGAATGGATGTTTTTTTGATATTCTGCATATCCATGAACATGGGAAGTCTTTCCTGCTGTCTTCTTCAATTTCTTTAAAGTTGTTAATTTTTTTTTGTGGAGGATCTTCATCTCTTTGGTCAGGTTTATTCTGGTGATTAAAATTTTTTTATTTTTATTAAGTAGTTTTACAAAGGAGTTTCAATCCAGAAATCAGGTTATAAGTTATTTTTTGCAATAGCATTTGCATTGTATATAGAATTTTAATATATTCCTTATATTGAATGTTTTGGTATGTTCTTTTTACTTAATACGGCTTAGAGTCACTTAGAATAACTTGACCATTTTTAAAGATAGTATTTATGTAGAAATGTGAAAATATTTCTCTAGGGAATATTCCTAGAGAAAGAATTGCTGGGGTAAAGGAGCTGTCTATTTTATAGTATATTAGGAATAGGGCTAGAGACATGTTGAAAGTGTAGAAGGCTTACCTTACGATGTGTGACTGTCTAGATTAAACCCTAGTCCTGAAAAAAAAAAGTTAAAGAAAAGTAAAATAAATCAAGGACTGTTAAAATTGTTTTTTCCAATGGCATCATTAACATTTATTGTTTTCACCAAATATTTTCTTAGCTTCTACTATGATTAATACTTTTCTATGTTTTGCAGAATTAATTGAAAATAGAATACAGTCCTTATAATCACTAATCTTACATTGTATTTGAGAAAGAAAGACTAAACATATGGTCAGGGAATAAAGAATGTAAATGGCAAGTGTTGATTAGTATTATGAAGAGAACTAAAGTAGAAAAAGAGAATGATGGGTCTTAGGGTGATAGGACTCTTAGATGAGAAAAGGTATTTGAGCTGAGAAGTACATTTGTGCTCTCAATGTTCTACTAGGTTGACTCTGTAAGGTTTTTATGTATCATTTTAATTGAGTAGGTCTTTCTGGTATATTCTAATGTAGTAGGTTTTACTTATTAATCTTTTATCTAGCTCTCAAACATTACTCACTCTGATTATCACTGTTCTCCTTTGCTTGTAGAACGAATTGAGAAATTTTCCACGTATTTTTGGGCTTTTGAGCAGTATATCATAATTTAAACATTCCAGGAATAATATTCAAGAAATTACCAAATTCTTGAATGGGAAAGCAGTCTTTTTTAAGCTCACTGGATTCTTAGCACTGTGCCTTACCACTTTACTCCCAAGGACATGTACACTCCCAGAGAGAAACACTGCCCTTCTGGCAGTATTGAGGAGGGCAGTCAGACCTTGACAGAGTAAGGCCTTTTCTGCTATTGGTCCCTTGGCTTCTGTTCTCAGAAGTATCTATCAGATGCCAACGGAAAATTCCCTCTGTGCGGTTGTTCTATGAAGAGTTATTAGGAGAAAGTCTAGATGGTGATTGGGATTTCTGTCTTCTAAGAAACATGCGCTTGCCATAATGGATTTAATCTTAGTTGTAAAGCATATGTGCTGGCCTTTTGTTAGAATTGGGGAATGCAATGGTAGGTGTGTGCACTAGTGCTCCATCTACTGTCTTGAATGTGGGGTCCTGAAAAGATTTTGCCCTAGTACTAACAGTAGGTACTATGGTTTACATAGTACCAAAGATCTACTCATAGTTTTGTATTAAAATAAATTATTCTAGTTTCATTCTAAGCAGAGAAAGAGGAGTAGTTCATGATGTTTGGGGAGTTTTGTGTTGTATTGGTTTTGAATCTGGAGGCAACTTGTTACATATACATATACATACATATATATATAGGTTTGAAAATGACTAACTTGGTGTAATTGTGAAAGATGATTATCTTTATAAACATCTACTTTGAAGATGTCAGTATTATACCTATGCTCTATTGTGTTATTTAGAAATCATAGAATTTGATGTCTCTGTATTAAATTTTTTTCAGAATCTTGACAAAGCTTTTGGAGGTATCAGATGATCCGCAAGTCTTAGCTGTTGCTGCTCATGATGTTGGGGAGTATGTGCGGCATTATCCCCGGGGCAAGCGGTAAGGGAAACCACAAAGTACCCAGTGTCTTCAAATTGTCAACACAGAATTCTACTAATGTACTTAAGTACATAGTAGAGAAACTCAGCTAGTAAATTAAATCAAGATTACTACAAAAGTATTATATACCCTCTCCTACTGAAAACAAGTATGCTTTACATGGTCTATTTAGTACCATGTTATTTGCATATCTATGTCTAATTTTTCTTAATCTTGCTGTTTAAAATGCCATCTTGATGTAGTACTGAAGTGCTATGCAGCTTTCCAAATCCAAGAGTCTGTGACATGCCTAAGGAGAAAAATGTGTGTGTCAGATAAGCATCTTCCCAGCTGGAAGGAATATAGTACAGGACAAGCCAGGAGAACACCATGTGACCCTATTCCTTGAAGCTATTATAGAGGCTCCAAAGTAGATGATTGGGGCCTGTTTAAGGATTTCATATCCCTTTATTAAGAGCAGTGGGTGCTACTGGGTTGTTTTAAACAGGGAAAATGTTATTTAGAATTTTGTGAAAATTATTTTGGCAACAGCAAGGAGTGTATGTTGAGTAGGAATAGCTCTTCTAACATCAGCATTTTGGTCAAATAAACTGCTCTGGGCTTACTGTACTGCAGGACCTGGATGTTGTGGCCGTTGATTTTCACAGCAACTGTATGGGAGCTTTTCTTTTTTCTCCATATTTGGTAGGGTGAAATTTACTAGTTAAATGATTTTCTACTCTTAAACTATCTGAATAAATAGCTGATTTATGAGAACATTTCAGAGCATTGGTCTTATGTTACTATGAATATGAGATAATCTTTAGTACTGATTTTATGTAAACCAGAAGTATTTGCAAATACTGAAGTTTAACTTCATATTTAACCACCTAAAAACTGTAGTCTAGAATGTTCTAGTCCGTGAAGTATCCAGGTAGATGGCATTTTCTTAGAATAAGAAATGAGGATATGAATTGGATTTGTCATTAGGAATTAAAAAAAGAAAACGTGAATCCTTGAAGTCTGTGATGTAAGTAGATACATACTGGTTTCTTCAGTCAATTGTAACTTTTCTTTAAAAATAATTTGGGTGTTTGAATGTTGTACTTGTGATGAACATGAGTTGAAAAATAATTGTGAAGCAGGTGGCTCATACCTATAATCCTAGCTGATCAAGAGGCTGAGATCTGGAGATCGTGGTTTGAAGACAGCCTGGGAAGGAAAGGCTGTGAGACTCTGATGGTAGAGTACTAGTCATGAGCAAAATTTCTCAGGGACAGCACCCATGTCCTGAGTTCAAGCCTCAGGATATGTGCCAGTGGCTCATGCTTGTAATCCTAGCTACTCAGGAGGCTGGGATCTGAGGATCATGGCTCAAAGCCAGCTTGGGCAAGAAAGTCTGTGAGACTCTTATCTCCAATAAACCACTAGACAACTGGAAGTGGCACTGTGGCTCAAGTGGTAGAGTGCTTGCCTTTAGCTGAAGAGTTTAGGGACAGCGCCCAAGCCCAGAGTTCAAGCCCCACGACTCACACACACACACACACACACACACACACACAAGTAATTGTAGCATCTTCACCAACTCTTTTCTGTTCTGCAGTGTTATTGAGCAACTGGGCGGGAAGCAGCTGGTAATGAACCACATGCACCATGAAGACCAGCAGGTCCGATACAACGCCCTACTGGCTGTGCAGAAGCTCATGGTGCACAACTGGTATGTCTTTATGTCTTGCTTATTCCTATACCATGATTTGCAGGCTCTCATTTGTCCATGCTAAAAGGTCTTATGTAAATGCTCTTATAAGTAATTGCTTTAAAATCAGTTATTTCAGTTAAAGTTCTGTTAATGTATTTTACAAAAACAGTGACATGATAATTCTAAATGGGCTGACTTTACTAGGGGGTCTTAAGTAAGGTATCACATTCAAAGTACTAATATTGAAAACAACTACAGAAGTAAATAAATGAGCCCTTGAGACAAAAGTGAACTAGTGTTTTGTGTTGAATGGAATATGATTGTACTATTAATTCCTCTACGATTTTGCAAAACTTACTATGCAGTGTATGGTTAAAATGTTCCAAACTAACTTGGATTCTGCTTGTTTACTTCATTCATTATAGCATTTTCTTTAGAAATAGCCAAGATCATGCTTTTCTCCCTTCTGTTTAGTTTTAAAATCTAGATTATTGATCTTTTTGTATCTCCTTAAAATAAAGAGTAGCTTTAGTCATAATGGTGAGACCTTTGTGTACTAGACAGATTGAATGAGGATTCCCTTTGGGATAGCTGTTTTTAGTTGTAGGTTAGCAGTTCAACACTCCTCTGAACAGAGCAAATGTTCCTATATTCCCTGCCTACTGATGGGTTCTTTCATTTTGGACTTTCTTTTGTTGATGTGCTAGTCCTAGGGCTTGAACTCAGGGCATAGGTACTGTCTCTGAGCTGTTTTGCTCAAGGCTAGCACTCTACCAAATGAGCCACAGCTCCACTTCTGGCTTTTTTGGTAGCTAATTGGAGATAACAGTCTCACAGACTTTCCTGCCTGCACTGCCTTCAAAAGCCTTCTACTCAGCTAGGATTACAGGGGTGAGTCACTGTTGCCTGGCTTGAACTATTTTTGTTAAGGCATAAGGAACAAATGTATATTGCTTCTAACTGACAAAAATACTACCAAAGGAAAGAATTAATGTGCATTAAAATAAGGACATGTGGAATTGCTGTCAAATACATTGCAGGGAACTAGGCATGTTGTCTGGAGCTCATATACAGACTTGGCCATGACACTGTCAGTGTTTTCTCATAAACACTGAAATTTATGCATTTTGTAACAATGGCTTTTTGAGCATCTTCATTGTATCCTGTATTTTAAGGGTCAGGCTAAAGATAAAATGGAAGAGAGTACAACTTTGCATAAAACAATTGAAAAAGGCTTCCCTGAATAGGACAAAACTGTTAGGCTGAGGTGATAATAGATAAGCAGTATGACCGCTCAATTATTGAGATAATTAGCATTTGAGGTGGAGTGAATAAGATGAAAAAAAGCTAAGCAGGAATGAGCCTGGCTTGTTGAAAGCAATTCATGGTGACACATTTGTTTGTGATACTTAATGGAAATATGGCGCATGGTATGTAGAAACCAGGGATGCTAGTGAACATTCTACTATTCATAGGCAACCCCCTCATGAAAGAACTGTGCCTGTACTGAAGTTGGAAACTAATTTGAAGGGACAGTTCCAGCATCTGCATAGAGAAATACATTTAGGAGGGCTAGTATCTCCAGTGGTCTTGTTGACTAACATTTGATTCTTACAAGATGGATTGAAAGCCATTGAAAGGTTTTTAAGTGGTGAAAAGACAAAACTTGATTTGTGTTTTAAAAATATCACTATGGCTACTTTATAGAGAATATATTACATAGGTAACACTGAAAGCAGGAAGACTGCTTTATCTCTCTTGGGTAAAGATTGTTGTTGGCTTACTTTTGGCATTAAAAGTTGAGAAAAGAAGTTGATGAACTTGGGAAGCCTTCAGAGTTCTTGTGAACAGCACTTTGTGAGCTGAAAACATTTTATATTTTCCTATGTTTTGTGTAAGAAGAAAAAGCACAGGGTACTCCGAAATGATATTTTACCTGATTAGTTGGAGGATAAGACTTCACTTGTAAAAACTAAATACACCACTAGATTCTTTTTGAGATAGATTTTTTTTTTACAAAAATCAATATCTTGTGACTATTTTTATATATCTTTTATACAACTATTTAAAAAATGTTGGCATTTAATACATCTGGAGTCTGTTGTGACAAGTGAGCTTATATTTGCAAAACTTTTTTCTTCCTGAATGAAGTTTCTGTGAAAGGCCCCATTTATTTTTCCTTAATTTTTTTGTTGAAATTAAGGATTCTGAAATGTAATTTTACCTAAAATAAATTTATTGTCAAGGTGATGTACAGAGGGGTTATAGTTACATAAGTAAGGTAGTGACTGCATTTCTTGTCTAACTTGTTACCTCTTCCCTCATTTTTCTCCCTCTTTCGCTCTCCCAATCCCCCCCTTCCAAGTTGTACAGATCATTTCCAACATGTTGTATAGGTTCTCCCTTTGTCCTTTGTCTCCTCATATTGTTGTTCACCTTCCCTTCCCTAGTTCAGATAAACATATATACAATACTCAGGGTACCAAAATTGAACTCAGTGGGCTGGGAAGGTGGCTCAGTGGTAGAGCACTTGCCTTGCATGCATGAGGCCCTGGGTTCGATTCCTTAGCACCACATAAACAAAAAGAAAAAAGCCGGAAGTGGCGCTGTGGCTCAAGTGGTAGAGTGCTAGCCTTGAGCTGAAGAGCTGAGGGGCAGCGCCCAGGCCCAGAGTTCAGGCCCCACGACCGGAACCCCCAAAATAAAACCAAACAAAATTGAACTCAGTGACAACAGGGGATAAACTATAGGGAGGAAAACACAAAAGAAATCATATAGTACATTGAGAACAACAACAATAAAGAGAAACCTCTTGTGTCCATGTCTTAGAGTTCATTTTGCTTAGCATTATCTTACATGGTCATATGTACATAGCTTTTGACCTTTTCTGCTTGTCTGGTAAGATTATTTTAGATGTATACTAGTTATTGGAAATAAGGGAAACCATGGGTGTGGCTTGCCTCACTTAATATAATTTTTTCCAAGTCTCCATTTCCTAACAGATGGGGTGGTGTCATTCTTTCTGAAGGAAGCATAGAATTCCATTTTGTGTGTGTGTGTGTATGTGTGTGTGTGTGTGTGTGTGTATATATATATATATATATATATACATATACATACATGTATACATACACGCACCATATTTTCTTGATCCATTCATCTCCTGAGGGGCATTTGGGCTGGTTCCATATCCATTTTAATAGCTCTTTTTCTTAAAGAGTCTGTTGATGGGTTTAGCAGTTTTTTTTTTTGTCAGTCATGGGGCTTGAACTCAAGACCTGGGAGCTGTCCCTGAGCTCTTTTGCTCAAGGCTAGCATTCTACCACAGAGACATAGCTCCACTTGAAGTTTTTTTTGTGATTGATTGGAGATAACAATCTCATAGATGGGCTGGGAAGGTGGCTCAATGGTAGAGTGCTTGCCTTGCATGCATGAGGCCCTGGGTTCGATTCCTCAGCACCACATAAGCAAAAAGAAAAAAGCTGGAAGTGGCGCTGTGGCTCAAGTGGTAGAGTGCTAGCCTTGAGCTGAAAAGCTAAGGGACAGCTCCCAGGCCCAGAGTTCAGGCCCCACGACCGGACCCCCCCCCCCCCCCCCCCCCCCCCCCCCCCCCCGCAAAAAGAAAAAGAATCTCATAGATTTTTCTGCTTGGGCTAGCTTTGCACCACAATCCTTAGGGTAGCTAGGATTTTAGGTGTGAACCACCAGTCCCAAGCTTAGGGTGTTTTTTATTTTTTTTAATGTATATTCCTGATGTGTGAGATATGTGAGAGAGATGTATGAAAGAGGAGATTGACATGTTTTCTCTTTGCCAGTAGAGAAAAATACATGGTTGAGAGTTTTTGATCATGCATTGAAAATGGATTAAAATTTGATTTTCTACCTTGATTTTAAAACTTGACTTAGTCTCATAGTACATTTTCCATGCATGATTTTGTATGCATGCATGTATGTATATATGTATGTGTCTTTAAAGACAGAAACTAGCTTATGTGCTATTTATTCTTGACTTAAGGAGGGTAGTCATTTTTTTCTCCCTCTTCCTAATTATGCGCCAACCTATTTTAAATCTTAATATTTTAATTTCGATAAATCTCCTTTGCATTTAGTGGAGGTGCTTAGTGTTAGTATTTTGCTTTACTCTTTTTTTGTAAAAGAGCTCACTTTTAGTTCAGGATGTCCTTGAACTCAAGATCCTCTCCTTTTAGCCTCCAAGTGCTGGGATTATAGGCATGTACCACTACATCCAGCATCTTATACTTTCTTCAAAAAGGAATCTTCATATGAAGATCTGACCTTGTATATCTTCTTTGATGTTTACATTTTCATAATTTTTGTTCCAGAGAGGGAAAATTACCTAAGTAATATTTATTTCTATGTTAGATTAATATGACACTACATAGAATCTCACATGAGAAGTTAATCTTCTGCAAAGTACATCCATAAATATAAGAGTATTAGATACATATCTTTATGTAAACCTAGCTATCTTTATTAAACTATGCTGGTAAAGACTGCCTTTCTATCTACCTAAAATAGGGATTGTGTGTTGGGGGGCAATGTATGTGTACTCATGTGCTTCCTCACAGTTTACCTAAAATGTGCCACTGATATTCTAAATATTTATTTCATTGCTTTTATGAAGGTCGCTGGAAACTGCTTACATTAACACCAAGTGGAAACTTGAAAACATAGTTGACCTTCTCTTAGCATTTTGCATTTGTTTTGATTTAATAAAGTGGTTTATAATTGATAGGTTTTAGTACTCTGTAATATAGTAAGACATTTATGAATAATTACAATATAATTGTAGATGGAAGTCTGTCTGCCTGCTGGGTGGCAGTAGCTTTTCTGCATAGCCTGAGTAGATTCTTTGGGCTTCCAGGTTGGGCCTTCAAGTTGCCAGCACCATCTTAGTTTACATTTTATCTCCTACACTAGAGAATTTGTAGGCTTTGGCTTATTGGACTGAATTATGATTTTTGATATAGTAAAATTAAAATTACATGTTAAAATTA